TTTGTCGCTGAATCGTAGGTCGAGTTATTCCAGGATTGAGTCGATCATTTGGAGAGATAGCCCACACTTCACCACGTCTTGCTGGGCCAAGTTTCTGATGCAAATGATATGAAGTATTAGCTCGAACATTATTATGATTAGAAAAATTCATATTTGCAGAATGTTTAGCATAATTGTGGCTTTCCATGCTCTCTGATCTAGCAATGCGCTGAGGCAAGCTGACATGATCTAGTTGGGGATTTTGTTTGGAGTGCCACAAAGTATCTTTGCCTGCTGGACTGCTATTACAACTACTGTATTGGATATCATATTGTGGAGGACCATATATTTGAGATTGTGGGCCACATGTTATAGGACCTCTTATTATATTTGGCTCTTCAGGATTATGATTTGAATCAAACTTGAAAATTGTCTTTGCACCTAATACTAAATCAGATGATGAAGAGGAACCGGTAAATACTTGCAATGGCTGGTCATATAAAAGTGTGGCTGACTTACTTCTGACTATATTTTTTCCATCAATACCAGATGTTACTTTAACTGTTGCACTTGGCTGCTGGGGTCCATTTTCACTAAGAATGTCATAGATTTTTAATCTTCCAGTCTCCATATTAGTTATGCTATGAGATTTCACAACAGATCCAACTGGTCCACTTCTTTGGGGGGAGATATCTTCAGTGCTTTTGGAAATACCCATGTCAATAGAAGAATCTGTGTCTAATCGTTCAGCACTCCCAGCAGACTGTGGTGCTTCTGCAGAGTGTCCATTTACCTTACTTAGGGATTCTGGATTAGGATATTTATTTCCATTTTCCAAGGGCTCAGCCTCTCCTTCTGCATTTATGTTTAAGAAGTCCATTCCAAGAACTATATCATGTGTCTTTGATCTTTCTGCTCTATCTGGTTGAAATATATCATTAATTACAAGTTTCTTGAGATTCATATTGATATGGTCTAATTTGTGGGATTCATCAGATGCGGTTGTTGTGTCAACATTCTCAATTAGAACTAGCTGCTCTTCAATATTCATATCATATTCAGGGTGGTTAAGATCTTTTTCATCATGAACTCTGAATTTCTGTTCTGTTGAACTGTTCAAAATATCTCCATTCTGCAGAAGGCTATTAAAATTTTCATCTTCTTGCCTAAAACAAAGATAATTTTATGAAGAACAGTATCAAATCTGGTTTAATAGTGACATTAATAACTTAGTTAATGTATAGGTACACAAAGTTAATATGACCGATGTAATAACAAAGGACATGTATTATGAAGCATGTGATTTAAACTTACTATTTTAGTAGACTTATTTTAAATGGAGGAAAAAACCCCACAAAATTTAAAAATTCACAGAGAGAAATAAGATTAATTTTCATCAACATCCTTAAACTAGTTTTGTTATAACATTTAATAACACTAAACCATGAAGAAAAATACTTTCAAATCTTCTTTTCCTATGACATCTTTTCATGAAGGTGTTGCAATGAGAAAAGTCATTAACTTGAAAAGTTTAGCAAAGAAAACAGGAAACTTAAAGATAATGATGAAATATTATCCATATTAACTTAGTAATTATTATGAAACTCAAATAAGTACATTAAGAACTGTGCAAAGAACTAGTTTTTTTCTTGGTGTCTGTGATACTTGCCTTACAAATCTATTCGTTACAGAGATATTCACAAACCTGATTTTGGAATTAATATGTGTTTCTTTGACTGGAGAGCAGAGTGAGGTGTCTTGACTACTATCAGTATTAAGAGACACTGAATCAGACATCCGGGATGGGGAAGAACAGTTGCTGTTATTATGATTGCTATTGTGTGTAGCTTCATCTGATAAAGAATCTGTATCCTTCGTATCATCT